TATCGATTATCGGAAACAAACTCGATCTGCGCGGGAACTAGGAGCACCTACATCTAAAATTTCAAGTCTAGCTCTTATAGGTTCTGAGATCCTTGCGTTCATACATACGGACGGACGGACAGACAGACAGACATGGCTACATCGACTCGGCTATTGATGCTGATCAAGAATATATATACTTTATGGGGTCGGAGATGCATCCTTCTGCCTGTTACATACATTTGGATTTTGCACAAATACAATATACCTTTATACCCATTTTTAATGGGTTCAGGGTATAAAAAGAGTACCTTAGTATTATGCACTGTCCGTCTTATCTAGCCATAATAATATGTTAAAATGTCTTAACCACAGCTACCCGGAGCCGGGAAAATTCCTAAAATATAAATATTTCCCACATTTTTCGATACAAAGTCACTTTTTGTGAACAGACAGATTAATAATGATCTGTTTTAAAGATCAAGCCATAAAAAATATATTGTAAATACTTTTCCAGCCGACTTTCTTTAAGATTAGCTCTAGGTATATCAGTTGTCGATCACGTGAGAAGAGGAAGCTGAATTGTATTATCAGAAAATAAAAAAATTGCCAATTAAATATTGATTTCAAACAAAATTAAGCTATGTCAAGCTTAAGTCAATGTGGGTTGGAGAGATATTTGGTTGGGAAAGTAATAAAATAAAAGAAAGATCCTGAGAGGTCCTTAAACTAGCATAGACTAGAGCTCTAAAAATTAATGATTTTTATAATTTTTGGTATTATTTCAATTAATTTTGATTTAATTGAGTTGCACTTATATACGTTTAAGCGGCACTTACTTTGAGACTTGAGACTTTGCTAACAAATTATGAATTATGAAAATCAGTACGAAAATGTTCTTGCTGACAAATTCAGCTTTAAGCGCGTGCTTATCAAATGAAAGTTTCTTTTGGCTTTAAGGAACGCAACACACGCGAATTGACACACCTGGGTCAGGTAGCGCCAGGCCACGCCCACTCTTCCACTTAACAACTGGCAATTGACACAAATTTGCCAAAAAGTAACGCAACAAAACTTATTCTTATCAAGTAGCTAATCCGAGTCCGAGTGAACTGACGAAGTCCATGGAACAGAGTCAACTGAGCGCCAAGCGCTGCGCTCGCCTATTTACATAAGGAGGCAGCCGGGACAACCGGGACAAACTCCATGCCCGACGATCCGGCGCAACTTGGCGCCGCTTTCTGCTGGCCCCCGTTTAGGGTGAGAGTTAAATAAACATTGAATTAACAAATACCACGTTGTCATGGCAGCCCGAAATTGATTGCAAGCCCTGCTCGAAGTGGGCAAATGCAAAACGTGGCCGGAACCCACCCGGTCTGAAGCATCTCCGCAATATTTGGTCACAATATTCGTGGCTGCGTTCGGGGCAGGGCTCTGTCAAATGGGGCTTAACCCTTTTGCCTTGTTTTCATTTCTCGATAGTTTCCGCATTTGTTAAGAAAATTTAACCACCAAAGCACATTTTGCTGATCATTGTCATATTTATTTTGTGAGGCAAGGCATAAAGAATGAACACAAAACGTACATCAACGAATATTAAATACCCTTTAAGGCATATGGAAACAAAGTAATTTTTATGCTAAGGATTGATCGTTCAGTTAGGAGCTATATAATATAGCTAACACTCCCCTGCTCCATTCATATTCTCTGTGCAATAAGAAAGTATAAAAATCTTTGGGGTGAGCAGATCTATTTACTTATTAATAAATTTCTATAATCATATTACCTATATATATATACCCTAAAAGTCTAAGTTTCCAATTAAATGATTGATGAATGAGCATCAAATGATGAAAGGACTTCGAATTGTATAGTTAAATTGTCTCTCTTTGGATTACAAATATTCCCATTACAACCTTTAAAAGACTTAAAACTTTATACTATAATTCTCTCATTAGATTACAAATATTCCCATTACATTCCTTAAAAGGACTTCGAATTGTATACTCTAGTGAAATTGTCTCTCTTTGGATTACAAATATTCCCACTACAACCTTTATAATTTTTGTTTAATAAGAGAGAAACTTTAAATTAATTAAATATTTCATATAGAATGATTGCTTTCAAAACATCCTATAATCCCTCTGAAACCAAAAGATCTTACTCTGTTATTTGATAAAAGTCTAGCAGAAAGAAGACCTAAAAGAGTGCATATTCTCCATCTCCCGGATAGATAAGTTAAATAAGTACAACTTCAATCTGACATACAAAATAAGTAAAATATAAAATGTAGGAAACTTTCTAGTAATGTTAATTTTACTTATTCTCCCCAGACAGAGTGTAAATAAATAAAATGTAAAAAAAAGGAACATAGTTATTGTTACAAAATCTGCTCAGATTGCAATATTAGTGCAAAAATTCAATTCAAGAGCTTGGTAAAACAAAATGTCGAAATATGATATTGCGACTAAGTAGAAATATTTTTGCAATGCCAGCGCAAAGCACGAGCTCCGAAGGTTATCTCAAGATTCATACTAGGTGGCATCCGACCGATGCCTGCTATCGGGTAACACACGGCAGGCACACACACACACACACACAGGCACACCCAGTTACACAACACGTTGAAAGGTGGGCGAGGTGTGTGTGCACAAATATATACATATATATATATATAATAGGTATTACATTTTAAAGAAATTTTTGCTAATATTGCTTATCAATGTGCGACGGTAATTTTTTAAAGATTTTTTTTTTTGTTCGCCGGGCCACTTTTAACCTGTGCGCCGATATCAAGGTGCAAGTGCAACAGGCATAAATAGAAATCTATATAGTATAGGCAATTTTTTTTTTTAAAACGAATAGAACTATAAACAATCGGCAGGTAGGCAGGCGTCTGGCTGTTTAAAGTCCGAGGTTAAGGTGTTTATTTTTTTATATTTGTTTCACTTTCCGTTTAGTTAATCTGAATATATATGCTCGCAATATTTATGACACAGCCAAAAGTCTTTGGAGTAGGTGTGTGATTATTTTCTGGCTGTCACTGTACAGCATAAGTATATTTATACCCTGAACCCATTAAAAATGGGTATAAGGGTATATTGTATTTGTGCAAAATGCAAATGTATTTAACAGGCAGAAGGAAGCATCTCCGACCCCATAAAGTATATATATTCTTGATCAGCACTAATAGTCGAGTCGATCTAGCCATGTCTGTCTGTTTGTCCGTCCGTCCGTATGTATGAACGCAAGGATCTCAGAACCTATAAGAGCTAGACTTGAAATTTTAGATGTAGTTGCTTCTAGTTCCCGCGCAGATCGAGTTTGTTTCCGATAATCGATAAGTTACTCCGTTTCCAAGCAATCGATATCTATATCCCGTTTTTTGGGCAATTTTGGTAAATAATAGGAGCTAGAGTCACCAAACTTGACATATAGCTTCTAAAATAGAATATATATATGCATTTGATGTTGGAAGAAGAGGGTTCAGGGTATCCCCCAGTCGGGAGCTCCCGACTAAAACCCCCTACTTGCTATTTATTTGTTGTAGTTGTAGTTGTTGTTGTTGTGTCTCTTGCTTAATGAGTGTTGGGTTCATAGTCAGCGGCTTATCAGCCGCAGTCGCTGTCGGAACCAGTCGAAATGCCGCAACAGGCTGGATTGAAATGGGATTGAGTAGCTATTAGTTTACATGTATTTCATTATTTTAACGACAGGCTCAAAGTACACTGCAAGCGACCGACTGCAGATTAAATCAATGTCCAAGTCCCGATTGCAATTCCCTAGATGATAGTTGAGATTGGTTTTTTTTTTTTTGGGCTGGCCTGGTCTCGTCCAGAGACGAGATCTCGCTGTGCGCAATGCCAAAACCTTGAGATGATGGACCGTGCTCTAGACAAGCTGGATGATTTATACTTTTTTGTTTTTTTTTTTTGGCAAATTCGATTACACTGAGAAAAATAGCAAACGAATTGACTATTAATATGTTTGGTTGCCATGCTAACTTTAGCTGAAACATATTTTAAGATCAAGATGATTCATTGTCCTGCTATTGTCCTAGGTCAGAGAGATGCTGCTTGCTGCACTTGCACAAAATGATTATAGCTTAATATATTATATATTTAATATATATTCGAAACTATTATAGAAAGTGGGAAAACCCCAAACCAAACCGATTTCTGAAGCAGGTATTATTAGTCTATGCAGCTTATCTTTTGGTTCATAGCGTAAAAATACGAACCGGTTCGAGTTAAGATCATTCAAATCGCTTAAATTAATAATATTGAATTGATATTGTCAGAAGAAATGGTGGACGTTTTCTGTGGCACATGTTATACATTCGGATATTGGTGAACGTGCATGAGGACATCTGTTTAACGAGTTTGGCTTAAAAATCTTTGAAAACAATTTTTTTTTCATTTTTTTTATGGTGTCAAAAAATAAAAAATTTTTAAATATTTGATAAAAATAAACAAATATAAATATAAAAATAAATAAATATAAATTCAAAAATTAAAAATAAATAAAATGTTCAAAATATGTGAGATAAGTCTTCATTAAAATAATTAAAATTTTCTGAAATTTTTGTAATACAAATTTTTGTTATTTTTGATGCAATACAAAAAACATAAAAAAACATAAGAAAAAAAACTAAACAAAGTGCTCAAAATATATTAATTTCAAGAAATTTTAAGAAAGAAATAAATAATATCTGAACTAAATATTCGTAATATTATTCAATGTGGACTGAAACTGATTTGCAGGCTGTTTTTTTTTTCTCAGTGTAGATACAATGCAAAATCTCACAGACTGCGAGCTGGCGCACCCAGACAAAATAACATAAAAAAAAATCAAGTAATATAGAATAAAATAATAGAAATCGGAATGCGTCTGCCTTGGCTCGTATACGGCGTATAGGTATGTCCGTATCTGGCGGGAGCTATCAGTGAGAATCGTCCGTCGGTTGCAGTGCGAACGAATCGAAGGTTTTAAGAAGAGCTCCTGTCTAAGCGGCGCTTTAGTCAGATTTCGGAATTTGCCAGCATTGCACGGCAGGGAGAGCGCAAAATAGATTACAAAGTACGGAAGACGAGTATCAGTCCGTAAACGGTTCTGTGTCCGTGTAAGGGAGAGCGAGCGAGCGAGCGAGCGAGCGAGAGAGAGAGAGCGAGAACGAGATGTCGCAAACACTGGACGATATATTGCAGCGACAGGAGAATGCCCGCCAGCTGCGTTTGGCCACCCGGCCCAAGTTCCGGCGGTTCAATTCACTGGACCGCATACCGGAGCATCCCAGCCAAGATGAGTCCGAGAACGATGAGCATACAACGCATCGGCATTTCATAACGCTGCGGCGCCAGCGCACGGCAGACGGCAGCCTGTTGCGTGCCCATGTCCCGGCGCCGAGCGCCCGACCGGAGTCATCCTCCGGCAGTCTCTTGTGGTTCGGGCCGCAGCTGCTGTTGCGCCTGCTGATCCTGCTGGTGCGCTACATGCTCTACATTCCGCTGTCCATAGCGGCGCCCAGCTTTTGGCTGTCCGCCCTGCTCTGGATCTTCTGGAAGCTGTTGCGCGTGCCCATCGGCCTGTGCAAGTGGCTGCTCAGCAGCGACGAGGAGCAGCAGCAGCAGCCGGGCACAGCGCAGCGCAGCCGGCAACGTCAGCGTCAGCGCACCGTGCTCCTCAGCTGCGGCAGCACCATTCAGACGCTGCATTTGGCGCGCAACTTTTACGGCTCTGGAGCACGCGTCGTGGTCTTTGAGTTCGAGGGTCTGTTCGGGCTGGCGCGCTTCTCGACGAGCGTGGACAAGTTCTATGTGGTGCCGCAGCCGAGCAGCTCCAACGTGGAACAGTATATCGCGGCGCTGTGTCACATTGTGCGCAAGGAGCGACCGACTGTGTATGTGCCCGTGTGTGCCACCAGTCCGGCGTACTATGATGCGCTGGCCAAGCCGCATTTGGAGCTGTTGGGCTGTGCCAGCTTTGTGCCGGGCGCACGAGAGACCCAGCAGCTGGACGACTGCCTGCAGCTGTTTCAGCGCTGCGAGGCGCAGCAGATCACGCTGCCGCCGCACACGGTCGTAACGAAGCCGGAGCAACTGCATCAGCTATACGAGGGCGGCTTTGTGGCCGGCTATCGCAACATATTCATGGCCTGCGGCATGCAGGGCGTCATGGAGCGGCACAAGTACATATTGCCCAGCCGTCGGGTGGAGCTGCTCAAGTTCAATCAGCACGAGATTAGCGAACGCCAGCCCTGGCTGGTGGTGCGTGATCAGCCCGGCTATCATCATTATGTCACATGCACCACGGTCAAGGATTCGCGGGTCGTGGCCAATGTCAGCTGCCGCGTCGAGCACAATACCAAGAATCTGATACCGGTGCGACGCAACGATGAGGCCCAGATCGAGCTCTGGCTGAGCGGTTTCTTTGCCAAGGTGCGATTCCAGCGCAGCATCAACGGGCATGTCAGCTTTCGCTTGGTCAAGTCGCCGGCGCATGGCGGCCAGTTGGTGCCGCTCGGCGTTCGACTGGGCGTGGCCCTGCCCTATATATGCCACAATCGTTCGCATGCGCAGCTCCTGTGCCGCGCCATCAAATGCATGTGCATACATAGACGCGGCGCAGCCGATGAGGATACGGCCAGCTGGAGCTGGAGCTGGTCAACGCTGGAGCGCAATACGACAACGGTAGCGCTGGACAAGCGGGAGGCCCTGTTCGCCTACTGGGATCCGCTGCCCTATTGCGCCTACTATCACTTTCAGCTGCCGCTGGAGTCCGTCAAGCTGTTTTTGCAGCGACGGAATCGCAGCGCCGAGACCAAAAGTTTATCGCCGCGCATCACGGCGCCGGTTCATTGAACGACGACGACGCAGTGCACCCGGCCGGGACGGGCGGGCGCTCAGCTAGAAACAGCAGCGACAGCGAGAGAGATTGCACAGACTGAACAATAATAATATGTACATACACACACACACACACACACACATACATATACACACACACACACATATATATATATATATATATGCATAAATATGTATGTATGTTGATTTTGTTTACTTGTCCACGGGGTTCAACATCTATCTAAGAAGATTAGGCTAGCATAGAGCACATTATATGATTATATGTATATTGTAGTAGCACTTGGATCTGGCACGCACACACAGGCCTATAGTTTATTGACTCTGCGTAATAAAGCTTATAATTTATATGTATTACCCATAATGGTTTTATTTTGCGTTTTTAATTTAATTCACAAAACACGTTCTGTTCGATTTGGAAAATTAAAGTGAACTAAACTGACCAAAACAGTTATCCTTGTCGGTGGTTGTTTTGGCCACGTTTCGTTTTCGTTTTCGTTTGCGTTTTTTGTTTTGCTTTGTTTCGTTTTTGTTTTAGCCCTGTTGCTTGGCAACGGCTTTGGGTCAGCTTGCGGTTAACCGCGCCATTTGCATTATTCTTATCAGACCCAGCCATGCAAATGAGGTGTGCAACACGCAAATAACCCCTATTTTTGTAATTAAATTAAGATCATTATTTATATCGCCAATGTTATATGTTTTTAGGCTCGGCTGACATCAGACTTGCAACACGCTATATACAACAATTTAATATCATATATAACAATATTCCAAAGTGCTTGCAAATTTTCTGCTAATTAGCATTCAAAAATATTTGCAACGGTCACTCTGTTGCGGCGAATGGCAACGTTGACGCGTGAATAGCTGCGTTAACAGCTGACTGGCAGAGAAATAGGCTCGCGTACGCACAAAACAAAAAAAAATACAAATTTTGCAAAGTAAATAAGTTGAGAAATCGGGTTACTGTCCATCTTTTTTTTTTGCCACGCAATGAACAACGGACCAAACGATCCTGCTGCTTCGCGCCGTGCCCAGCCAGGAGACAGAAGCGCTGCCAGCGTAGCCATACCCATTGACAGCGACGGCGATGACAATGAGTCAACGACAGCTGAGCACGATTACCTGCTGCCTGCGCCGACGCCGTCCTTGTCGCTAGCGACCGCGGCACAGCCCTTAACCGGACCAAATACCAGCACAAGCATTAATCTGGAGCATGCCAATCCGCAGCCGGCGCGCAGCAGCAGCATTGGTGGCGGCCGTCCCTCTGGCAGCAACATACTGTCCACGCTCCTGGCCCGGCAGCGCTCCTTTACGCCGATCAGCAGCACGCCTGTGCGTGTGACCACACAGATGAATCGCCGCTTGCAGCAGTCCCGCAGCGTGGGCGCCAACAGCGGCAGCTTGGAGGAGCCGCCGGCGCAAGCGGCCGTCTCGTCGGCAGGGAATGTGCGGCAATTGGGCTTCTGGCGTGTCAATCTTAACGAGATGTTCTCGCTGTCGACGGCACCCTCAACCGAGGCGCTGCGCTCCTTTATAGCACATTCCAATTTTCGCTACCAGCCAACAGCTGGCAATGTGGTGCCACCAGCAGCGGCAGCCGCCGCCGCCGCCTCTGTGCCCGGCGACAATACGCACATATTGATAAACCAGAATCAGCTAGCGAGCCAGATCGAACCGGAGGCCAGCACCAGCGCGTCGATACCCTCGCGCATGGGCGCCTACAGCAGCGCCGGCATGGGCCGCAGCATCTCCCTGCGCGAGGGCGAAATGCAACAGGCGCGCCACAGCCTAAGCGGCCGGCACAATGCCAGCGTGATTGGCCTGACAACACCGGCAGCGGCGTGCATTAATCCTCCTGCTTACGATGCGGCACATCCGGATGCAGTCACTGTTGCTGGTGGCGCTGCAAATGCCGCTGCCGCAGCGTCCGATGGAGCGAGCAGCCCGAATGCCAATATTGGCCATCAGGCGGCGCACGAGAATAACGCAGACGATGATCACATCATCACGGATATGGTGGTGCAGGTGCTGAGCCACTTTGTGCGCTATTTGCCCATCATTTGCATACTGCTGATCAAGTTCGTGCACGACCATCTGCTGGGCATACTCGATCTCCTGCTGCTGCAGACCATCATGTACAATGTGAATCGTTCGTTGCGGCATCAAGTCTCGCGGCTGGCCCAGAAGAACTATGTGGTGCTGCTGCGTGATGCCTGCGTGGTGATCGTCGTGGTTACCCTGCGCATGTACTTGGCCACAGCGCCGCCGGATCCCTTGGGCTTAATTGTGCCGCCGCCCAAGATCTATCAAACAGTTGATGTCTCCACTTCGCACTACAAAACGGAGAACAGCCACACGAATGGACTCAACGACAGCCCCTCGACCACGTTCCAGTGGAGCGCCGAGCTGGCCAAAAGCTCGGCCAATGATACAACTGTGCCAAAGGTCATTCCGCTGGGCATGCTGCTCTACTATGTGGCCATCAGCGATCTGCTGCTCAAGCTGCTCACCATTCTCATCAAGATCTGCATAACCCTGTTGCCCATGCATGTGATACGACTGAAAGTGCGCGTAAGTAAAATGAATGAAGGCTCAGCTTCTTCTGGCCTGGCATCAATCCTTAAGCCTAATCCTTTTCCTTATAAGCATATATATATTATTGGCTAGCTGGTGCTTCCTGAACCTAGTTTTTCGACATCAATTTTCACACATTTCACGACTGTGAACAATTTAATTTAATTTAATTTTAATTATTTACACATAGTCTTGGAAAGGAGCTTCAAATCTATTCAATAAGGGACCAAAAGTCGGAACTAAATCTTCACATCTCAAATGAATTCCATGAAGAGCTTTGCACATGATATTGAACCTAAAATGCACATTCCCCAACTGAAGTCCACTTTTATTTATTGCAGGCTCGTCTTTATGTGTTGGTCGAATACATATCGCAATTCTATCGCGCACTGGCTCCAATTACACAGTGGTTCCTGTTTCTGTACGAGTCCTACTCGGGTCTTGAGGTCATCTCGGGCGGCTTGTTCTCGTCCCTGTATATTGGCGCGAAAATCTTTGAGCTGCTGGAGCGGGGCAAGTCCCTAAAGAAGGCCATTTCAACATTTCGACGCAATATTGTGAGTAGCAAATCCAAAAACAAAGACTTTAGCTTTAAATATTGAAATGTAAACCACACACAAGGGTGAAAAATGCGTGGAAATTGTATAATGAAATGTTTTTGTACACTATTCAAACGAATTCAACATCATTTTTAAATATCTTTGAGGACATTATTATAAAAAAAAGATTAGTTGCTTAAAGATCAAAGTTTTTTCCCCAGCTTTAACTGGGGAAATGTAAAATATATATATATATAGACTTTTCCACTCGATTTTCATTTTGTATTTCACGTTTAAACAACTTTAATCTTCAATAATTTATAATCTTCAAAATAATTTTGAGCATATTTAAGCAGATAAATTCTTGTATTTAATTTCTATCAATTTTTTTCTTTAGGACTCGGAACGGCCGCCCACAAAGGACGAACTAGATGCCGCCGGCTCCGTGTGTCCCATTTGCCATGATGCGTACAACTCGCCAATTATACTGGAGTGCGGTCATATATTCTGTGATGAGTGCGTACAGACCTGGTTCAAGCGTGAGCAAACGTGTCCCATGTGCCGCGCCAAGGTCAGCGACGATCCCGCCTGGCAGGATGGCAGCACGACCTATTTCCATCAGCTCTACTAGGCCGAATATCGGCCGGACTAACTAATTATTCATTCTATTCATGCGTCTATCTATGTATATATATATAGCTTAAGCTAGCGTTTTTTGCAATGCTGCACAATTGTTTATTTAGATTAACAGTTATTAATTATTAAATATACCTATTGTATTTAATGAGAACATGTTTACTTTGGCTTGCGGCGCTTGGCGGCCGCGGCGGCTGCAAAGGATTGCGCCTCGAAGTAGTCGCCATCGCCGCTGGTGGCCTTCCTGTTGATATCGCAATGCCGCTGTTTACTCACGATTTCCTCGAGTATCTCGCTGTCGCCCTTGATGAGGCGCGTCCGGCCCGTCACCGGGTCCACCTCACGGCGTATTTGGCTCTGCCGGCGCTGGTACTCCTCCGGCGTTTCCGGGGCGTGCGATTTGCTGTTCATCAGCGCTTAAATGTGTGCAAGGTGTTAACATATTTGAGTAGCTGTTGTGTGAGACACAAAGATGTCTATGACCGACCTATTGGTATGGCGAAGTCCTCCTCGCTGCCGCTGTCGGCTGCCGCAACCAACGGGGTCTCAATCTTTGGCGGTGTCGTGTCCTTTTTCTCTTGCCTCTTTGACTTCTTGGCTTTGTCCTTGTGCTTTTCCTTGTGCTCTTTACGCTTACTCTTGTGCTTTTTCTTTAACTTTTTGTCACTTTTGCCCATATTGCTCAATTGTTTACCAAACGACAATAAAAATCAAAAACTGTTGACTGTTGTTTAACATTAACTTAACATGTGACTGACGTTCTGTTGGTAACAGTATTTAACTCTGGAAAAACAGCTGTTAGCTGAATATACTTTATTTTCTTATTAGTCAAAACATAAAGTGTCTATAACTGACTGCAAGTTTTTAAAATCACGTACAATAATTTGACAGCTTTTAACTTAATTCAAAAATAGTAATAAGCTTTAACAGAATCAATACACAGTTTAACTATATCAAAACAACAACCCCAGCTAAGAATCTATTAACATTTCTAATGAGCCGGCGATGTAAGCTGCGTGAATCCTGTTAAAATATAATTGATAGTAAAAAAAGATTTTAATTTGCTTTTAATCAAATACAATTCACGTTGTAGTTTTTTTCTTTCAAATTGTCACTTTATTTAGAAGAAATACATTCCACTGCAATAAGCACAATTATCAAGAAACTAGAAACTGGGAATATTTTATTAAATTAAGCTGGTCACTCTTCGCTTATGTTTTGATTTTGTATGGAACAGCTGATTTTCTATCGATAATTTGAGAGAAAACAAATAAAAAACATCAATTAAAATACAAATTGAATAAAATGTTGAATTAAAAAGTGAGGCAAAAGCTATGTTTTATTGAATTATCCATACCGCAGCCAATAATTGTCGAACTTAAAGCCATTCGCCCCGACAAACGTGCTGGTGTTGCAAAACGCCGTCGATTCAAACACATTTTACAGCACTAAATTATTTACGTAGCACGCCGATAAAAACCATTAAAATCAAAAAAGAGCCGAACATCTTGTCAACTATTTACCAACTGGACGCATTCAACGACAACAACAGGCCACGCGACTGAGCAAGCTCCACAGACGCTTCAAACGGCGGCCAATTAGCCAAACGCGACAAATTCGTGTTCTGGACAGCACACACACGCACGCACACCCACAAACAAACGCAACGACCACGCAAAAGCAAAAGGAGCTGAATTTAAAAGAACTACAACAACAGCAACAACAACAACAAATTGCGATTTGGCAACCAGACAAGTACAACAACAAGCGGGCAAAAAAAACTGTGCAACGTGCACGCCAACAAAGTACAACAAATAATTCTACGCAACCAGCGCCAAAGGCCAGCCAGCCGCAAATCCAACAAAAACAACAACAACAACATAAGCAGAAGCAGAAGCAACGGCAGCAACAGTCGGCGCGGCAAATCAGCGAGAGGCAATAACAAAACAATAACAAACATTAAGACGTTGTCCAGGGAAACGGCGCAGTTGAGGCAACCCAGCATTAGCATGGAGAAGGTCGCTAGCAAACAATACGAATCGTAAGTGGAAACCAATTTGAGGGCAACATCTTCGCCAGAGCGTTTGTTAGGTTATGTTCTAATCATGGCTGCAAATCCCCACCAAAAAAAAAAAAAAAAACTTGGTTCCCTTGCCTGCCTTTAAGCTCGTTTCGATTTGACTAGGCCCGTAGCTGCACATTTCAGCCAGTCTTTTTTTGTTTTAAGTGAAAGAATTCAATTATGAATTTATTTTCAATCAAGTAGGATAACAATTATTAATTTCTTAGCCATGCCTAGCTCCTGCTGCCCGATAACATTAGATTGAAAAAAAAGTGTTAGAAAATATTTGAAAATACGTTACGATTGGGGGCTATTTTTGAAACCAACTGGACTTACATCCCGGTTGAATATATAGAAAACACAAATTGAAATTCTAGTTTCGATCCAGTTCTGTCCCTGTGCTTGTCATCCAAATGGTTAATCAACTTTTTGCAACCCAAAACAACCAAAAGCAAATGCCCGAGCTAGTTGTCCTCCTCGTCGGTCTGCCGGAAGAGTATGTCGGCAGTGAGCTCCTCGTTCTTGTCGCAAGCCAGATAAATGGGCAGAACGACGTCACGATCGAAACCCAGCGCCATCAGGCGCTCCACGGCCGCTTCTTCCTCATGGCTGAGCGAGCCCGTCAAGTGGGCCGTCGGCTCGTTCAGCATGGATATGAACTCCTCCTGATTGCCGCGTATGGCCTCAAAGGCGGCCGGATCGCTCTCCCGCAGATGCGTCAGCACCAGCTCCAGCAGTTCCGGATTCTGGCGTATCAAATCGCGCACATGCGCAAAGCGCGGATCAGTTGCCAAATAATTGAGATGCTCGGCTGTCTCGCTAATCACGCTCGACTCCGCTGAGCTGGGGGTTGTAGTTGTTCCGTTCATTGTTGTTGCATTGCTGCTGGGTATGCCCGTGATTAGGTACTCTATGGCGCGCTCCGGATGATTAAAGCTGGCGCGCAAAGCTGCACGCACATCCTGCTCCTCGTAGCCCATGAGCATTAGATCGCGCACGCGCTGCTCATCGGGCGTAACGGAGGGTCGCGGCGGTTCCGCCGGCTGCACCATCTGCTCTAGATGGTGCTCCTGCCTTGGCTCCGACTCCGGCTCCTGCACGTTGGCACTCCTTTTAGTCATTAGCACTATGAACCTGTCCTCCCTAATGTGGTAGTCGGCCAGCGGCAGATCGTCCTGCATAATGCGTCCGCCGTAGATCAGCTGCAAGCTCTCCACCGGCTGTGTTATCTCCGGCAATTGAACCAGCCGTTGCTTTAGCTGGATTACCTTCTGTTTGTCATCCTGCAGCTCCAGGGAGATTGTCTTCTGGTCCAGCGTGCGGATCGACAGCTTCATGTTGCGTTACGTGAAGCCGTAAAAAAGAAGCATATATATATATATATATATATAATGTATATAAGTATATAGGAGCTGTATATTTGTATTTAAGTCTAGGGAACTGTCATAGTTGTTGGGTTTGTTTTAGTTTCGAGTTTTGGCTGGGACTAATTTGAATAGCCTGATACGACATACTTATCAAAAGTGTTATGCCATCACCATTGCGTTGCAGGAAAATCTGGCCAGATATTGTCGATAGCGATGACAGCGATGTGGAAAATGAAATAGATGTTGACAAATTGCCCCCACTGGAGGTGGGGCCCAATGAGAACCGCCTGCAGCACACATACTGCCTCTGGTTCTCCCGGAAGGGCACACAACGAGCGGCCACCGACTATAGCAAATCGCTGCATGTGGTCGGGCGCTGTGCCAGCGTGCAGCAATGGTGGTCACTCTACTCGCATCTGATACGGCCGACGGCGCTGAAGCCCTATCGGGAGTTGAGTCTCTTCAAACAGGGCATCAAGCCGATGTGGGAGGATCCGGCGAATAGTAAAGGCGGCCAGTGGGTCATACGTTTGCGAAAGAATAAAATTGAGCGCGCCTGGGAGAACGTCTGCATGGCCATGCTGGGTGAGCAATTTCTGGTTGGCGATGAAATCTGCGGCATTGTGCTGCAAACAAAGTATCCGGTAAGTGCGCAACTTGAATTAACTTACAACAAAAACGCCATTCAACTGAATGCCTGAAAGCAATATTTAAACGACGAGCGAATTTGGCGCGCGTGTCAGTGCTGCGAAACATCGCAATGTGCACATTTATCGATGAGCTATCGATATAGAACTGTTTTTTTTTATATTTATTTATTTACATGCGTTGGCGTTTGTTTACATTTGTATGGCCGTCTGTTTGGTTCTGCAATATACAAAAACGTGCTTCATTGTTTGCCAAATGTTATAGCTCTCTTTCAGCTGCAGTTTTTAACCGCATTAATTGCAAGTGCCGGCTTTCCATTCATAAAACTGCTCTCGCCGTTCATCCACGAATGAGCGTGCGAAGTGAACCGTGCAGAAATTAAGTTCCACAAACAAACCGAATGCTGGTCGCTGCTGATGGTTGTTGTTGTTGTATTGTAGCGGCATTTCAGTGCTGACGTAACGTCAGTGCTTTCGGTATTATTTGGTGCATTTCTGCTAACACTGTTGGTATTTTTTAGGCGTCGTGTCGCAACAAAAGTGAAAACAAAAACCAGTGGCAAAAGAAAACGAAACAAATTACCATAAACTTTTATATTTTGCAACAGTCTCATAACTGTGCAATCAATGTTGGCGTTAAAACAATTACAATTTGAAAGAAAAGTGAATGTCTGAATATAAACTTCACTAAATAGCATGATAGCAATGAAAACTTTGCCGCATCTGCGTTTTGTGTGTCCCATGCCAGTAAATAGATAGAGCAAGAGAGCAGCTATCAACAAACGCCGAATACGACAGCCAAACGCAATAGTAAAGCGAGCGAATTACTCCCAATTGTGAGACTCAGCGCAATCGCACTCAGCACATAATCCACATTAAAAAACAGCAGAGCGAACCGTCGCCGTCGCATCGGTCTTGCTTGCACCGGAAGGCGACGCGTGTTTCAGATTGACGAGAGCCAGCAACGCGTCGAGTGTGCTTTTTAGCAACGTGCGCGTAAAACAAAAGGCGACAACGACATACTACAACAAAGTAACAAAAGTCAGCAGGGAGAAAACGAAAAACGCAAAGAGAAAGAGAGACAGAGAGAGTAAATGGATGCTTGCCACCCACACCACTAGCGGCGAGAAAACCAAAGCGAATGTGTGAAGTGCCCGCCGACTAAATCACTCACACATACAAACACAAGCACATACACAAATACAATCAAACGGCACATAGACACGCTCGCACGCAAAATAAAACAAAACGGAACGCAGAGAAAAAACGCCCACCGTACAGCCCTGCCTCCCCCCCCCTTCCGTTTGCCGCTAGCGCGTGTTTTCGTTGCCAGAAGCAACCATCACGTCACAGTACCCTAAGCGGTCGAAGAAGAGAGCCGCCGCCGTTGGAGCCCTGCGCAGAAATCGATTTTTTTTTTGCCCATTTTCGTACGTGTTTCGCGTACGAAGTCAACCTCAACCGAAATTCGTTTAAAACAAGCACGCATTGTCTCTAAATGTGTGCAAATGAGAGGTAAGCAGCTGCAAACGCACTGCAATTGCGGATTCGTGAGAATATAGCTAAAAGCGAATAGGTTAACTGCAGCGCGATCGATCGAGGCGAAACCAAAACCAAAAACCAAAAACCGAAACCGATGCCGAAAACGAAAACGAATACGACGCACACGCTGCCCGCCCCGCCCACCCGCGCGCTTTGAGTGAATGTGAATGTGAATGTGAATGCGAATGCGTGCGCAAATGCAACGGCGATCGACAGCCCAAAAGTAAAGAGAAAAGCAAAAAAAAAAAAAATAAGCAACAAATATAAATAAATAAAACAACAAGCAAAAAAAGTGTGTGCTAAAAAGCTGTTCGGGCATAAATCCTACGCATTGTTAAAAATTATCTGTGCACAGACAGCAGCAAAAAAAAAAATATATATATATATATATAAGCAATTTCTTGTTGCTGTTTTTTAAGCAATCGCCGTGAGTCATAATTTAACGCTTTTATTGTTGCTTGACTTAGCTGCCTGGCATTGAGGTGCTCGCTGCGTCGCTCTCTTTGCGCGCTCTTCGCTCTTGAGCGCAAAGCACGCGCGCCGTTATCGAAAAAAAGGCTAAAAGGAAAAGCGAGCTAGAATTCTTGTACATATTTAAGAATATATTTATATATATGCATGCATGTATGTATGTATGTATGTGTGTAGGCAAAGTGAGTTGCGTGTAAAACAAGAAGAAGCAGCAGCAGCAACAAACAAAAACTAAGGCCAAGTGTTTAGCTGAAGTCGTATTTATTTAGGGCATGCGAAAAAAAACCATTTAGCGGTCACAAAAACCAACGAAAAATCAATAGTCGCGAGTGTAAGCAGCAGAAAATATACAAAAAAAAAAAGCAATAACAAAAAGCGTGCAAACAAGTTAAGCAACAAACGCTGCAAAAGTTAACAGTTAACTGTTAAACGGAACAACAACAACAAACGCTAAGCCAGAGCTTACGTAAAAAGCTCGCACGAAACTGTAAATGCAACTGCAACTGCATTCAGAATAATCAATTTGCCATTATTAAAAATAATTACAAAAACTAATTATCAACGAATTAAAGAGTACAACAAAGCGCAAAGAATAATAGAAATAAAAGTAACGGCAAATATCAACTAGTTGACAGCATGACGAAAGACAGATTGGCCGCCTTGCATGCCGCCCAGTCGGACGATGAGGAGTCGGAGGATGTGGCCGTCAATGTGGATGGCCATGATTCGTATATGGATGATTTTTTTGCCCAGGTGGAGGAGATACGCGGCATGATTGACAAGGTTCAGGACAATGTTGAGGAGGTGAAAAAGAAACATTCGGCCATATTGTCGGCACCACAATCCGATGAGAAAACCAAACAGGAACTGGAGGATCTAATGGCCGATATCAAGAAGAACGCAAATCGTGTACGCGGCAAACTCAAGGGCATCGAACAGAACATTGAACAGGAGGAGCAACAGAATAAATCATCGGCCGATTTACGTATACGCAAAACGCAACATTCAACATTGTCGCGTAAATTTGTCGAGGTCATGACCGAATACAATCGCACCCAGACCGATTATCGAGAGCGCTGCAAGGGCAGAATACAGCGTCAGCTGGAGATCACAGGTCGTGCAACCACCAACGAGGAGCTCGAGGATATGCTCGAGCAGGGCAACTCCGCTGTCTTCACCCAGGGCATCATTATGGAAACGCAGCAGGCCAAACAAACTCTGGCCGACATTGAGGCACGGCATGCGGACATCATGAAACTGGAGACGTCCATTAAGGAGCTGCACGACATGTTCATGGACATGGCCATGCTGGTCGAGTCCCAAGGCGAGATGATCGATCGCATCGAGTATCATGTGGAGCACGCCATGGACTATGTCCAGACCGCAACTCAGGATACCAAAAAGGCGCTCAAATATCAAAGCAAAGCGCGACGAAAGAAGATCATGATACTCATCTGTTTGACCGTGTTGGGTATCTTAGCGGCTGCCTATGTTAGCAGTTATTTCATGTAAATGCAATTACTTAAACACACACACACACACACACACTTAGACACACACACACACTCGATGTCTGTTTAGGATGTTGTGCAACCCACCCAGAAATGATTCAATACAAAGTTTAAGCGACCCTTGCCAGTGAGCTACACACACACACACACACACACACACACACACTTGATAATTTAGGCTCTATAAATAACAAGAGATAAACAATGCATTATATATAGCTAATTTGTATTAGTTTAGAAAAGTCTTGAGTCTAGCGGCAAAAGTGCGCATATTTGTTGTTATTGGGCGCAGGATATGCATATCCCAATGCTCAACACACACACACACACACACACACATAGTAATATATATATATATATATATAATATGTATATGTATATGTATATATTAGTGCCCGATTTAAACACAGAACCGAACAAACCAAACGAGAAGCAATTAATAGAGTCTAAAAACAAAACAAAAAAACATATAGACATGCGAATATATGATCAAAATTGCAATTAAAAATATATATATATATAGTAAAGAAATTATTGTTAAAAATGCAAAGCAAATTCAATATTGCAAGACACACAAAAAAAAAAAAAAAACAAACCTAATTTCTAATATTTAATTATAATGTTCTATTCACAATTTAAATTTTCTGTTTCTTCAAATATGCATTTAATTTTGTTTTTCAATTATTTGCTTTGCAAAAATTTGAAACTAAATCTCAATTGCTTTTTTTGCAGTCAACAAAAATCTCTGTGTATAACTTCTTGAATATATATATTTATTAAACAATTACCTATATATGTACATATATATTACTATATATATATAATTAATAACTATAGTGACTATTTACGAAATGCTATTAACCCAATCGTGTTCATATGTATCGAATGCACATAGAGATCGTATGTACTTTATGAATATATATATATATATATCAATATCTATATATATTTATATCTATCAGTTGAGGAAGCATATTTGAATAGAAATAATCTGCGACAGACACGTACTGCAATATTGCCGGACTCCAATTAAATGTTTAACTATTCATTTCAAGTTGATTATTTAGTTTGTTGCGCAAATAAATGTTCAACATTTATCTCCATTAAAAACGGGTTTGTTTTCTGTTTTCTGTTTTTTGCTTTTCCTTTTTCCGTTGTATTTTTCAACAAAAAAAAAAAAAAAAACTTTAGCCGCATTGCGAAACCAATTTAATGGCAACTCAAATTGTTTATTTGTGCTCTCAAAATTTCTCAATCAATTTGATTTAGTTCTCTGCCCTGCTCACACACACACCTTCACACACGCCTTTCATACACCTAAACACCTGCAATATTAACCCATTTATTTGTTTATTTCTCTTCTTTTTTTTCGCTTTTATTTCTGCAACACTCCAAACACATGACTAACAACAACAACAACAACAAACGGATCTTTGTTTAAACTAACCCCCCAACTGCATGCTAAAAATTATTAAAATTTTATTATTTTTTTGTATAAAATACTTGAAACTCATGCACAATAGAATCAAAGCAAGCAAGTAGCAAGACATATTTGTAGCAACATTTATTTGTAACTAAAAAAAAAAAAAACAAACAGAAATTCCAAGAGAAAAACAACAACGAGCAGCGCCAACTTCATTTCTAAGGCACGTTTAGCTTTTCTTAAACAAAACTGAAACGAGAGTTTATGCAACAACAATAACAACCACAACAAGCAACACCTTTACAAACAACAACAACAAATGAACAAAAACACAAAACGCAACAAATTCGTGCATCAAGTCGCATTCAATGTGTTTTCTCAAGCCCAACAACCAACAACAACCAACAGCAGCAACAAAAAACCAGCAAAAATAATACAAAATAAACCAAAACGCGTACAAAAAAGTATATATAATATAAATAATATATAAAATCGACGTATAAACCCAGTGTTTAGCCTCAGTGCCAACGTCTCCAACGTCTACACTCCACCTGCAGCTACCAAGCGTCATTTTTCCAACAGAGGTGAGTAATTGTTTGTTTTTCTTCTCTCTATATAATGTTCAGCAGAGCCTCATCAAGCCCCATATGACCCGTATCTAGGGTATTGCCGAGCACCATGCATAATGCCGCTCTGTGTCTATGTTTTATTAGAGCGCGCCTAGTTTGTGTCTAATGCGCATTGCTAATGCCATTATTATCTATTAAATGTTCTACTTGAATGTCTATCATATAGTATGGAGCGCAAGTGTTAATTGGGTTCGTGAGAGTTAATGCGCCAATGATTAGATTGTAAGTCAATTCAATTTGATGGGAAAATGCTTAACTGGCAAACTATTCAAATGAATGTAATTTAAATTATTGTGTTTATATATAAATTTGAAAACATATTGGGCGTACATAAAGTCATATTCATTCCTATCTATATATTTCTAGACGAACTGTAGATTGGGCGAGTCTTTAATTAAGTAATTGCGATAAAGTTGAAAACAATAAATTTGTATGGACAAGATAGCTACTATCTATACAAACAAACTAAAACTAGAAACAATATTTAATAGAAAATCATTAGATCTAATGCAATTAAATAGATATATTTCGTATATTTATAATCTGGGAAAAGTTACGAACTGGATTACACATATATGGAAAGAAATTTCGTTGAGACTTTCTCTATGGCTATAATTGTTTATACTTGTGTCTCGGATACAACTCCGATCCCATAAAGTATATGTATTCTTGATCAGCATCAATAGCCGAGTCGATCCATCTGTCTCTCTCTCTTTCTATGCGAAGTAGTCTCTCCGTTGCACGCACGTACATATGTATGTCGTAATCGGCTGGATCGGATTAGTATATCATATAGCTGACATGGGAAAGATCGGTCGGAAAGTATGTTGTATGGCAAACTTTTTTGTTTGTCAAGATAACTTAACCAACCTTGGCATTTATTACTTTTACAATGCGTCTCATATATATGCAAAATCTTATCAATATCGGACGACTATGTCATATAGCTGCCATAGGAACGATCGGTCGTAAATTAACTTCTTGTATGGCAAACTTTTTTGTTTGTCAAGATAACTTAACCAAACTTGGCATTTGTTACTTTTACTATGCGTCTTATATATATGCAAAATCTTATCAATATCGGACGACTATATCATATAGCTGCCATAGGAACAATCGGTCGTAAATTAACTTCTTGTGTGTCAGCATTTTCTGTTCTCCAGCATATTTTTATGAAACGAGCTTCACTTTTCTCACACATCTGCAAAACCGTAAGACAAATATCTTTAAGGGTATTAAATCTTCGACCTTGCCTTCTCGTTTGGAATAAAATCAAAAATAAATGCATTTCAAAAGAAAAGTTGCACATTATTATACATATACCCTGGAAATGAAAGCAGCTTTGAGTCAGCTTCTTGTTGTCTTATAAAACATAAAAAAAAAGAAAGAAAAAAGGTTTTTTGTTTGTTAAATATTCTCAACAAGTGTCGATTTGTCATGCATTGTACGCTCAACCCACACTCGCAACAGTTAGCACAGTTTGTTCTCCATTTATCTTTCGACGTATATTACTTTTATATATTTGCTGTTAGAATTTGACGAGATGATCTCATATTATCGAGTCATTTTGTTGCTCAAGAGTTGCGAGTATCAACTGACGTTCATTTAATATTTATAGATCTTGCAAAACTTTTCGACAGTCATCATCATCTTTCACAGCTCCCTCTGTGAAATATCTGTTTTTTTGTTATGGATTCGTTTTTATGTACGTTTCATTAATCTAAAAACTTCGTGCCAACTTCCTGTCGGCGCCAGCATAAACCAAATAAATGAACTAAATAAACTGACCCCAATGTGACTCGGACACTCGAACTCCGCACACATTTGGTGAGTGCTTCGAATAGTTTGTAGGGTTGAGTCATCAGTTCATCAAAAACTGACACATCCAGCGATAAATGCAAAGAAAACTATTTACATTTTGTGTTAATTAGTTATTAAAAGCTTATTCACATAAAAAAAAAGCTAACATTCCCAATGAATGAATGAATCATGCGATAGCCAACAAAAATTGATAAGCATTTGCTGCACTTAGTCGGGGGCCTTTTTTTTATTATTTTATTTCGGCTGATTGTGAGAGCACAAATTGTCGAAAAGAGGAAGCAAAATGTTGGCATTTCTCATATATACATTTTCTTGAATATTTCTGCTTTAAATGTGCGTTAAGCTGTTCGAGTCTAACTCTTCGTCAAGCTCTTAACTGGGAGACTCTTTCTCGCTCTCTGCGTCTTCTTTTGCCTGTGTTTATATGTATTTGTATTTGTTTTTTCTTCTTCAATGTTCTGCCTTGTTGCTCACTATTCACTTTTTGGCTTTTTTTTTTCTATGCATAAAATCTGGTTTTTATACTCTAGCAAAAAGTCTTGCAGAGTTGTTTATTAACTTAGCTAAGATGCTTTTTATTTAATTACTAGTTGCGTTGTCTTTGTAAACGCTTTTTCAACACTAGCTAAGTGCGTTAAGTGTTGTAAAAGTCTATAAAAAATGGAAATAAGTCAGCCCTGCATAGAAAACTGTTATTCCTGACGGACAACCCAAACTGTAAAAACTAAGAAGCTGAAATTTTCACTGCATTTATTTTCACATTAAGAGTAAGACGGAATTTCGGGCATTTCCACCCGCAAGTGCGGAAAAGTAGCGAAAATCGTTTGTATGAAACCTTTTTTGCTGCAAAAACCTTTTCAAAGATCTTTGTGAGATTTGAATCATTCTTCAGCTGCAAGATTCTCAGCGCAAAACTTAAATGGACGGAAACCTTTGATTCCAAAACTTGGATCTTTATCAATTATCGAATTTCCACGAGCGTGTACTCAGTGGAAAGGTAATATCTAAAGTTTTAAGCACAAAACGTTTCACGTGCAAGGCCGGGCAATACCCGCTAGTTATGTATATGTATATATGATACGACTTGTCATATGTAAAGCTTATCTATACTATATAATTTTCCAACACTTGAAAGGGTATCTGGAGTGCGCATACTCCCATTCGCTGATTTCGCACAAACAGTTGATTTTTGTTTTGGGCCTTCACACTTGAATTTTTTGACGCAACACGGAGTCCACTCGAAGGTGCCCGCAGCCCAGCACAAGAACAACTCTTCGAGCTCTACCCGAGCACAGCACCTGCCCCTATTTGAGGCGACGGGCATCGAGTCATGAAATCAATTTATGTATGTATTTAGCTTAGTGCTGTTTGGCTAGCTTTCTTTATTTATTTTTCTGTTGTTGCCATTTTTATTACAATTGCCTCTGGCCTTCTGCCCGCTGACGTAGTCTCTGTGAGTTTGTTGGCCAAGAGCATGGCTAACGATTTCTGCCATTTCACTAAACACCCAACTCTTCCTGTTTGTCTGTCTGTCTGTCTGTCTGGCTATTTCTATTTTCTTCTCTGCGACATTGGCAATCTTTTTTTCGCACACAGCTGATGAGTCATGAAACTGGCCACATGAAGTTCTTTCTGTTTGAAGATAGCATGAAAACGTTTTTTATTTTTCACAATATCTTCGTTTATTTAGGAACTTTACAATGCACTTTACATATCTGTACTTAAACTTTGGCTAATCTAGCTTGACTTTTAGCTGTAAAAATGATTTTTCTTTTTTTGTCTTCAAACTTATATCAAAGGAGAAAATTCGTAAAATGCTATGCTACCTTTCGCCTGTTGCCCAGCAAAAGTTTTGCTTAAGAATGTGCTGGGCTGTAACGGAAGATAAGTAAAGGATGCAAAGGTATTTGCAATCCAATTTAAGCTACTGTTAGCTGTATTTCAGTTAAGCTGATCGAAATTCTGGCAAAAGGTGCGAGCTCCATTTGGCTGCCAGTTTTCTGTTTTTCCCTTTTTTTTTTGGCCAGGCCGAAACTCAATTTGAGCCTGGCCTGGCCAAACAGCTAGCAGGTGTAAATTCATCGATTGTTGTTGTTGTTGTTGTTGTTGTTGTTTTTGTTGTTGTATTTCCAAAAGCAAACAGTTTTGTTAATTGAAAACAAATTTTGAGAGCTGCGCCAGCCAAGGACGGGTCCATCTGCTGCGACCCAAGGGTGCAGTATCTAATACATGTGTGTGCGTGTGTGCGCGTGTGTGTGCGTGTGTGTGTTTTGTGTGTGCTTAAAAAGAAGAAAGGTAACCACAACTATTTAATTGCCTAGCCTGAAATAGCAGCAGACCAAAGCAAATTTTAATCAAACATTATAGTAAAAAATGCATACAAAAAAAAAGTTATCAAATGTTTCAGCAAAAATGTATTTTAATTAACTTTTAAAGGGAATTAGTTTGTAATAAAAAAACTGTAGGCTGCTCGACAGAATTTGTAGAATATTGAAGTGTTTTCTTCTGTTAATTAATTGAAAGAATCAATTGGATTAATATTAGTAATAATAATATTCGTCAAATAACTGTAGAATCTTTGATAGAAGAACGGACTTACATTTTGTATTATTATTAAATGAAGAACTTCCTTTCTTTCTTGGATTAATATGTTACATTGTAAAATTGTCATAAGCTTAGTGCGTATTATCTGAAAATCAAGAAGAAAAAAACAGTTTAAGAACATATTTGTTCAAATTTTAGTACCCGGACTCTTATATGCACATAAGATTATATCTATATATATTTATATGTATATATCCATTTCTTAAGCATGTACCTTGTTCTAAATGAAAGAAGGAATCGGATTGGAGATGCACAGAAAATAATAGCACTTGACCCTTTTTGTTTTTTGTTTTTTTTTTTTGTGCTCTTGCTGTTGCTGGAACTCCAACGGAGTTCATTCGCCTGCTTGGCAAAGGGAACCTTTAACCCACCTGCCTGTGCCTGCCACCTGGGCACGCCGCTTGGCAATATGCATGTGTGTGTGTTTGTGTTTGTGTTTGTGTGTGAGTGTGTGTATTTAATGTGGCAACAACAAGAAGCGCTGAAAATAATACCGAGTGCCCGAGGGCTGTTAACGGGAAGCCCATTTAAAATAGCAACCGGGTCCAGAAAGGCATTTTCGGTTTGGCTTTAAAGTTGGGCTACAGTTTTTCTTTGTGCCATTATTTATTTAATTTGTTTTTTTTTTTTTCTTTTGCTGGTTATAGGGTTCCAGGTAAGGTCTTGATTCA